CTGTCATCTGTGTAAGAAATCATCTGAAGTCAAATATACAGTAGCCAGACAGACTTGATTTATTTACTACATTTTGGATGTAGCAGAATAACTATCCAAATTATAATGGTTTTCACATTAGGGACACAAACTGAATCCAGAGAAGCTGTAATAGTTTCAGCATTGAATGGAACATCCAAAGCTCACATGATTACTATAGAACCATGTAGGAAATCTTCCTGGTTCCTTTGTCTTCTTTTACTAATAGTTTAGCAAAAGCATTCATGTACTTGTGACAGAAACACATGAATGAAAGCGTCTAGTGTGGTCATCATGACAAAAATTGTTTTTTTCATCACAAGGGTCTCTAATGTCAGTATCTTGACTGGCTTAGGTAGGAGCCTTCTGAATATCTGCCCACCCTTCAAGACTTTTCTTTGAGCAACCTCATCTATCTGTCCTTAGTTACTGGGTTTCAATATGAATACTTACCATAGTTCTCAGACTGTAATGCAAAGATGAGCAGATAAAGCAGTTTTGAGGCCAAATCTCTCCTTGGGCTTGCAAACTCAGCTACTTTACTCCTGCACTTGAAATTCTGCAGCAAATGGGAAGCAGCTATAAAAACAAGGACATGTGTGCTTTAAAATAACCTTTAGTGTTTGCTGTCAAAATTTAGCAGTACTCATGGGTTCAAGCATCCAATTAGATATAAGAAGTGCCACAGCTAACACTGGTAGCGACAGAAGATATGTGTAGAATGAAATAGACACTGCAGATCCCTACATATAAAGGAGAATGTCTGTGGAAACCCAACTGTGCTTTAATGCCTTAGACTTTGAAAATTAGTCTGAACATTTCTTTCTTGTATATCTCAAAGGGCAGACCATGCCCCTCCCTCCCTTCCTCTTTTTTCTATCATCATACCTTTTTGGTAGTGCTGGAAACCAAAAATTTGCCCTTAAAACAAAGGTATGTGGAGGATGCACCACATGTTTAGAGGTAATTAGCAATAGTTGGTATTAATCACCTTCTACCCCAGGTGCTCATGATCTTACACACTTTGTTTCAAAGACAAATTACCACTCTTGGTAGATTGAACGGCACCAATATGCTTACACTCATATGTTACCTACTTTTGATTCAAGGAGAAAAGGAATATTATAGATGTTGGTTTCGTTCAGTAAGGTCTGAATTCTATCTGCTGTATATAGTACAGTCCCCATATCTATGGGGTGCTTGCATGGATACATGAAAACATAGGTGATAGCCCTAACACAGCTGTTTTGCAGAATAAAGGAATAAACATCCAGGCTGTTCATGCCCTTGCAAAGTTAAACAGTGGAAAAGCTGAGACTGTATCACCACAAAATGAAATCCCAGGTACCAATTCTGCAGATACGTGTGTGCTTCTGTATAACATAAATATTTATTTAAAATATTGATCCAAAAACCTTGGTCACCTTATCCATGGGTCAGTGTAAGTACTGCACCTTAATTCTTATCAAGAAAATGAACCATCTCTTTCTCTGAGTCAGGTGGTGAAAGGAGAGGGACACTGAGCGCCAAGCAGATCTATGTAGTTCCCCATCCTTTATCACCAATGCAAACAGTAGGAGCTGTACCTCCCCTATGGAATATCTTACTGTGTTGGAGGTAGCCAGCCATCGGAGAGCCTTCACCTTGGCACGATGCCATGCACTTCCTTCTGCTGTACTGGAAGGTTGTTACCAGAAGACCCCATACTCTGAAAGGCTATGTCCCTGTGACTCAGGTCACATAGAAACAACAGAGCATGTGCTTCTGCAATTCCTGTTTTATAGAGATAGTCAATCTCGTCTCTTCTCACTATGGACAATTAAATACCCAGGACGTCTGGACAATTATACAAACCCCTGCTGCTCTCAGACACAAACTTGGCTGTGACATGCAGTGTCGCTAAGTTCTGCATGGCTGCAGTTAAAATCCAGCGGACGATGATTGAGAGTCAGAAGACCTAAACTTCACCCCTGGAATATAGATGGGAAATCAGATGTAGACTGATATTTACAGTGTTGGATATCCTTCCCTCCCCCGCCCCCCGGTGCCGTCCCCAATACCTCCCTTTCAACTGCCTTCGGATGATCTTGTGGGTTGAGTTGGGTTTTAATAATTACTTGTATGTGGTTTTTAGCTTAGATTTTAAAATTTGTTGAAGTTTGAAGTATATAACCCCTTGGGTTTGACGTGGATGTGTGGGACTGGTCTCCCTGTTATGATCTGGTCATTGACCATAATAAAGTTTACTTATTTAGGTGAGGGCATGGTCCATCCTAGAAGAAACTAAAAGAAGCACTGACTTCTTATACTTTCTGCTGTAGCACCACTTCTGACCCTTCTCAAAGGAGTACCTGGAAGAAGTCAGTGCTTCTTTTAGGTTCTCCCAACATGGACTAAACACTCACCTTTCATCACTCTATTCGGAAAAGGGGAAGCCTCCTTATTTTGGTAAGAGTTCATATTTTATCTTAGATATATGTATATATAAGAACTATCCCTTTCACTGAGTAGTGTGGGAAAAGGTTTGGATGCAGCCATGGGTGGCTAGTCCTGTAAGACGGTGCTGGCACTTTCCCATCCCCATGCAGTGTTCTTGGACTTTTCCACGGGTCATATCAAAATCCATAATTTTGACATTGAAACCTGCCCTTGATTTACACATGCATTGTCTTATATGGCAGTTTAGGATCTATAGAAAATTGCTGGAAGACATTTGAATTCAAGTAAGCTAATTGTTGTTCCAAAACTGAACTTCAATCCAAATCGCATCAAGGTGGTGTTTGTTTATAAAAAGAGTAGCATATATACCCAGCATTGCATAGGTGTTGTTGGGATTACTGCCCCCCTTTCATCCTTTTATTCTCTTTTTGCTCCCCTTATACTGTTTCCTCCTTTCTTTCTTTTCCATCCCTGCTTTCTTTCCTTCTCCATTCCTTTCTTTCCCTTCTTTCTCTCCTTCTTTCTATCCTTTCTCCCATCTCCAGCTCTAAGAAGGCAAGACAATGTCACCTTGGCAACATGGTTCTCTTTATGGCTCTTTCCTTCCTTTTTCCTTCCCCCTCACACTTCACCTTTCTTTCAAAGTGGCATCACAGAGGGCCGCTTTAATAGTAATAATAATAATAATAATAATAATAATAATAATAATACTTAGCAACAGACAACAGTACTTTGACTTTTAGATAAATAGATAGGTAGTCACCAGAGAATTTCTAAAAAGGCTTTTAGTGTACCCAGATAATTACTTTTCAGCAGTGAGAGTGCAAATCCAGCCCTTCGGATCAGGCAATATTCATAGACCTATTTGGCAGTTCTATACCTATTTTCGAAACAGCTTCCTGTTCCTTAAAGGTCTAGGTTAGAATATTGTGATAACATTTCATGTTCAAGACCTTAAGTTGTTTACAGTATAGCTGCAAAGTTGTTAATTGGGACAGAGAGAATCCATGAATAGATACTTGGCATACTTGTGATATGTTTACATGTGAAGGTGATATAAATAGAAATTAAAATGTATGCTTCTCACCCAAAGAACAGTAATTTAGATGAAATACCATAGATCAGTTGTTCATAGACCCCTGGGGGGCTGTGATGTTGTCACAAGGGGGGCTACAAAGGATCAATTATTAACTATTATTAGTGTTGATACTATTATTTTAAATTTGTATGGAATCATAATCACAAGATTATATTAAAACAGGAGTTGTGCATTAACAGATTAAATTTGAAGGACTTTCATGAGAAAATTGTAATAGTTATTTGATGCAGTCTTGTGTCTTAAATCTTGAGTTAAGTCTTGCGGGTCCACGGCTTCAAAAGGTGTTTGAGGGAGGGGGGGGTGAAAAAAAGGTTGAGAACCATTTCCATAGATGGTTTATGCCACCTCTATAAAGTATTTCAGGATAAATAACGATTTATTCAAAGTTTCCTGCATACATTGTCATGTGCTCTCAAGTTGTTTCTGACATTGCTGAGTTAAAGGTATCACAGGGTTTTCTTGGCAAAATTTGCTTTTCTTTGAGACAGTGTGACTTGCCCAAGATCACCTAATGGTTTTCTATGTCTGTACAGGGATTTGAACTGTTATCTTCAGATTTGTATCCCAACACTCAAACCATTGCAACTCTAAATGTCTTAAATACTAAATGAATGTATTTGAAAACATTGCTCATATCAAAGGCTGCAGCTTGGCATACTTCCCATTGAACTACTTTTAATTAAAGGGAAGTAAATGTTCCACATTAGAAATGAAGTTGTATAGACATGCATAACATGAGTCTGAAAAGTCTTACTGATGGCAACATAGTCACGTTTGCTACACCATTAAAGATAGAATCCAGCTACATGTTGATAGACTGGTGTCTAGTGAAGTAAATAGTGATTAGAAATTATGCTTCAGGATATGCAGTTCTTGACTTTGTAGAAACATATTTCTCTTACATGCCAGATTTTCTGTTTGACAAAAAAGATGATTGACTATGAATTGAATGATTATGTAGAAGTTGTTTTACACAGATATTGTGAACAAAAATCCTTACATGAAAGATTTTTCAAGACAGATTCAATACATGAGCTATTCATTTTCTCCAACCTTTGCCTGCAGATGTGACTTTTAAAAAACCTGAGTATTTACAAAACTTCTGTTCTAAAATGCTTTTGATTAAGAGTAGGCTAGAATAGCATCTATAAGTGGTTTAATCTAAGCATAATTTTATGTGTAAAATCATATTCAGCTGCTCCGCCATTTATAGAGAAAAGCTAAATCTCTGATTAAATTTCCATTTCTAAGCAGCAGTCATAATTGTATACATTTGCTTATTGGAAAGAAGTCTTCTTTATTGATAGCTTAAGATACAGAAAAAGTTTCACTGAAAGTTTTAGACAACCTTTTGTAATTTCAGATTTAGCCCGTGAACTTAATATAGTGTTTATTCTGCTTATTAATAGTGGACACATACTTTTCTTTTGATTTGCTATTTCAGGTGCAGTGGCAAGCACAGAAGTAAAAATGAAGTTACAAGAGTTTGTCTTAAATAAAAAAAAAGCTTTGGCGCAGCGGAATCTCAACCATTGCATTTCCAATGACCCTCGATTCTGGTATGGGTAAGTGGTCTTATTGTGATTCTTACTATTCTTGTTGATAGAATAAATGACATAATGAGATTGAAATATTTGCTATATTTATTATGACTACAAATGTGACTACTGAGCCTTAGGAAGCAGAAGAATTATAGGCAGCACAAACTTTTTCAGATTTCAGAAGTCAAAACCAACATTCGTGGAAACCAGAAAACCAGTGAAAATTCTAGAACAATAGTACAATATATGGGGAAAGATGCACAAGGGAAATTAATAATCTATATAAATAAAAATGTAATGTTCGTTTGTGGGATTAAGATAACTCAAAAACCACTGGGCGAATTGACACCAAATTTGGACACAAGACACTTATCAGGCCAACAAGTGACCATCAGTCACAAAAACATTGAAAAACACAGCAGAAGAGACTTAAAAAGCCAAAAAACAAAAAAAAATACATTACAACGCATGCACAAAACCACATATATACGCAAAACACATATATACACATATAGACAATTGTATGCAGAAATATATACACACATATATGCATACACAAAACACATACACATAAAGGAGGGAGGGAGGGAGAAAGAAAGAGGGAAAGAAGGAGGGAAGGAGAGAAGGAAAGAAAGAAAGAGAAGGAAGGAAGGAGAGAAGGAAATAAAAAAGTGAAAGAGGGAAGGAAGGAGAGAAGGAACGAAAGAGAGAGGAGGGAAGGAAGGAAGAAAAGAGACAAGGAATGGTGGAATCAAAGAGCAAAGGAAGCGAGAAAAGAAACAGGTAGAGAAGGAAGAAAGAAGAAGGGAAAGTAGAAGGGAAAGAAAAAGAGGGACGGAAGGAAGGAGAGAAAGAAGGAGGGAAGGTTGGCCATAGCAACGCGTGGCGGGTACAGCTAGTACATATATAAATTGTTATAATCATGTCATTTTTTCCATTAGAAAATTTGAGTTTAAATTATTTTGAAATAACAAACAGTGGCAGCTCTCATGTGCTGTTCTCTCATAAAATGGGGTGTGTGTTCAGTACTTATCTATATCGATTGCACGGGAGTTCTCTTCTAGTTGCTAAGCCAAAACAGACATTTCTAGAATTGTGAGGTTCTTATTTAAGTTTATATGTTATTCATCTTTAATTTTTTTTTCCTTTAGGAAAACACAACATAGTTCTCTAGATCAGAGTTCACCACCACAAAGTGGAGTGTCAGGCAATTACAATCATCCTGTACTAGGGATGTATGATTCCAAAGATGATTTCCCCCTCAGAAAAACAGGTAAATCCTATCTTCATGGCATTCCAAACCTTTTGTATTGAATAAAGCATTATTTCTATTCTTCTATTAGTGATTGTTATTAATTAATCATTTGCTCACACAAATAAAGGCAGCCCCCAAGTTATCAGAAAGATAGGTTGTGTAGGTTTGCTTTTAAGTTGAATTTATTTGTAAGTCAGAATAGGTACATTTGTAAATGTAACCCCACAGATACTTTGGATAACACCCTTTTGATGTTTATTTTGCAGTCTGTACTTCTGTTCAGAAGATTTCACCTCACTTTCTGTCCCTGTGATAATTAGATTTTGAAAAGTGTGGTGTGTTATGGAAACAAGGTTTGGTGAGAATAAAGCTTCATTTGCGACCTTTCCCCCATAATCACTCTTTCAGGAGTGAATTTCCATTCCTAGGAATAGTTTTATTTCACCTGCTGTTGTTTCACCCCATTCTTAACAATGAATGGTTTATAGGTCATATGTTTGTAACTCAGGAACTGCCTGAATATATATGGTCTTAATGCATTCATTATGTGTTGTATTTATTCTGCTCCTCCTCCTTCTCCTCCTTTTTGCTAAAGATGGCTAATAATTAAAATTGAAATATAAAATGTTTGGAAATCCTTAAAAGATCAAAAAGAATGGTCAAGAAAAAAGACTGAGCAATAGAAAAATCAGTGTCAAATCATATTCAGATATTAATTAGGCAGTGTGAGGGAAACATAACAAGGCATCTGACCTTAGTCTGAATGTTACGGTAGAGATATAGAAATATACTCGTATATAGTGATTAAGTATGTAGTCCATTTCTCTCCCCTGTTGCTTATTCATATGTACAGTCTTTCCCCACTTCTTGAAAACTCACTTTCTGATGCCTTGCTCTTTCAATTTCTACAAATTATAGGCAAATTTGATTCATTTAACTTCTATTTCATCAGTTCTTCTTGCTTGCAAGGCTTGGTTGGGACTGCTTGTGTTCCAAGGCCTCCCTACTGAGAGAGCATACTCCTCCTTGAATCACTTTTGAATGTGAGAAGTTTTTAAATTTTCATCACACATTCAGAAGTCATATATAGTGTATCTTAATATTTTTCAGCAGTCAAATGCATTCAGAAGTCATATATATTGTGTATTCTTATTATTTTTCAGCAGTTAAAATGCATTTACAAACTAGAAATAACTTGATTTCCACATTTCAACTGATTCTGATTTCTAACAGTCTCTGGATGGATCAGAGACAGTGCTCTGGTCTCTGATCCATCAGATAAGAGGAGCCTTCCTGTAATGTTTAGATCTAGCAATACTTTCCAGTGACAACAAATTACAGGGGAGAAAAATCCAAACTAATAAAGTACCAAAATTGTGAGAATGAAAAAGCAAGTATAAATTTGCATTTTTGCATAGCTTTGTTTAACATAAAACAAAATAAAAACCAAACAGGAACAGTATTATGAGATGCTTTGGTAGAATTATTCTTGATTTTGTAATCTTCATTTTAAAAGGTAGGTTATGATAGAAGTTTGAGGAAGCACTGGCTCTTCTTTCCCTTTCCCTTTTTGTCAGTACCAAGTGTCATTTGTATTCTGGATTGAGATTAGAGTTTATTGTGATCAAATTTCTTTTCCTAATAGTAACCCTTTCTCTGTTTCCGTTTTCTGAATATGTCCAGTTTATTTCCTTTCAGGGTTGGTTTGCACGATTCAATACACTACCTTTTGAACTTTGTTCACAAACTACACTGTCTTACAAAGAGACAAATGTATTACTGTATGCTGTAATTCCATGGAAATTACAACGTTTCATGCCTGATACATTGAAAAAAACCTCCACTAAATTATGGTTTTTATTTTCTAGCAGTGAAGAAAGTGTTGTTATTGCTTTGCTAATCAAATTGCCCTGAACACTTACCGTTAAAAACAAATTTATTTGGGTTATAAACTACCAGCCTGTTTTTGCAATAAGTATTCCTCAGTGATCTGATACTTCGTTCATGACTGCATTAAATGACTTATTACAGAAATTGTTCAGCTGCTTGAAGTGCATTACATAGTGTGGGTGTACAATTCAGAGAGAGCCTCCACTCTTTGTGATGTGTAAAAAATCATTCATATTAGTATCTCCACCCACCCTCTCCTTCTTAATGCTGTTGTGGTCCAATATCTGATTCCTGTGTGCCATACTCTTTACTCCAATATGCCACATCTTGTCAAATCTCTAAACAAATTGAGAAGTTACTTCAAGTGTTATTGTCTGCTCTGTTTTCCAGGTGTTACTACACATATGTGCATACTTCTTGCCTTTCCATTAGATTCAGTAGCTAAGTAACAGAACAGTAGTTTAACTGGATAATAACTATTTAAGAATTAAAAATTTCTGAAAGTGAATGATATTGCCTACATAAAACTTCTGTATAAGTTATTAAGGAAAATAAAGTATATTAAGTAAAAATAACATTATAACATTATAAATATTATTATAACAACCACTCACCTCTCCCTGTGGCTTGAGGTGGGGTACAATACCATTAAAACAAGAGATAAAACACATACAACAAGATACGTAGAGTTAAAATACACAGATGAACTTAAAACTGTAGACCTGCTGGAAGAGATGAGTCTTCAGTGGTGTTTTAAATTCTCACAGCCGCTTTAGCTGTTGGAGCTCTTCTGGCAGGTCATTCCACACTTTTGGGGCAGTTTTGACTAAAAGGTCCTCTGGGTGACTGTTGCCAGTTGGGTTCTGGTAGGCTGGAGTAGCTGCTTAGTGCAGCTTATGTTAAATAGTTGCTTCATGAATTTCAAAGCTTCATTGTTCTAGCAAGCGATCTTTGTAATGCTAGCTATAAATGTTAATTTAAGTAAAATCAAACATTTTTGTTCATATTTTTATTTAGCTTAATTTCTTGTAAAAAGTCTTTCAACCCCATTAAGAAAAGTATCTCTGCTGGAGATCACTTTTGTAAGATGCTCTCATGCTCTTACATATGACTTCTGTATGAACTGATTTGATTTATTTTGTTTTATTGTAGTCTGTTATAAAAGAGCACCCATTAAGAAAATGGGTGTTAAACTTAATTTTTGCATCCTGTATTTCTTTAGCTACATGAAACATTTGAAGAGTTATTTTACAACATATGTATAAGTTAAAACATATATATAATTTTGTCTTCATAGTCTCTCAAAGCACCATTCGGAACCTTCTGGAGCTTTACATAAGCTTAATGGTGGCATCCCCACCTCCCATATTCTATATCCAGTGCTTCCTGCATAAACCTATTTTCACTGGCCACCAAAAACAGCCACCACACAGATGGGAGGAAGAGATGGTGGTGTGATTTTACAGATGACCTTCAAAAAACTACAGTTACTAATACAAAGCCTTTTTCTTCTTCTTCGCAGTCTTTGAATCACACAAATGGGAGATTAGCAAGTTACTAACTGTATCAGGAGAGAGTGTCAAACACTTTAAAATATAAATACGTATATAGTGTATTGGTGATTAAAAAGCAAATCAGTAGCACTAGAGTTTGTCCTAGATATTATAAGGATGCTGTTAATCCTCATATATATATGGGGATTAACATATGAATATATATTCAAATATATGTTCACATAAGATAATGAATCATCATAAAACAGAACTGAAAAATATAAGCTAAATCCATTGCTTTCCATTTTCTTCAGTTGTTGAAGATGAAAGTAAGTTACATAAACATGGCAGCTTAGAATCCATTTTGCCTGTGGTGGCTTCACAACTCCAGGTATTCTTGGAAGACACGGATTATCTGGATTCGGCACAGTCTGGCTTTAGACCGGGACATGGAACCGAGACAGCCTTGGTCGCCTTAGTGGATGATCTACGCCGGGAGCTAGACAGGGGGAGTGTGTCCCTGTTGGTTCTGCTGGACCTCTCAGCGGCCTTCGATACCGTCGACCACGGTATCCTTCTGGGACGCCTCGCGGGAATGGGCCTTGGAGGGACTGTTCTGCAGTGGCTCCGCTCATTCCTGGAGGGCCGATCCCAGAAGGTGTTATTGGGGGACACCTGTTCAACCCCACAACCTTTGTCTTGTGGGGTTCCTCAGGGTTCAATACTGTCTCCCATGTTGTTTAACATCTACATGAAGCCGCTGGGAGAGATCATCCGGAGTTTCGGGGTACGGTGTCATCTGTACGGATGATGTCCAACTCTGTCACTCCTTTCCACCTGCTACTAAGGAGGCTGTTCAGGTCCTGAACCGGTGCTTGGCTGCTGTGATGGTCTGGATGAGGGCGAACAAATTGAAATTGAATCCAGACAAGACAGAGGTACTCCTGGTCAGTCGTAAGGCCGAACAGGGCATAGGGTTACAGCCTGTGTTGGATGGGGTCGCACTCCCCCTGAAGACGCAGGTTCGCAGCTTGGGTGTGATCTTGGACTCATCTCTGAGCCTGGAACCCCAGGTTTCAGCGGTGACCAGGGGAGCATTTGCACAGTTAAAACTTGTGCGCCAGCTGCACCCGTACCTTGGGAAGTCTGACTTGGCCACGGTAGTCCACGCTCTGACTACATCCCGTATAGACTACTGCAACGCTCTCTACGTGGGGTTGCCTTTGAAGACTGCCTGGAAGCTTCAAATGGTCCAACGCCAGGATACTAACAGGAGCGGCGCTCAGGGAGCATACAACTCCTCTGTTGCGCCAGCTCCACTGGCTACCAGTCTGCTACTGGGCACAATTCAAAGTGCTGGCATTAGCCTATAAAGCCCTAAACGGTTCTGGCCCAACTTGCCTGTTTGAATGCATCTCCTCCTATGAACCAGCTAGGACATTAAGATCATGTGGGGAGGCCCTGCTCTCGGTTCCGCCTGCAACACAGGCACATCTGGTGGGGACGAGAGACAGGGCCTTCTCAGTGGTGGCCCCTCGGCTGTGGAACACCCTTCCTACAGATATTAGATCGCTCCCTATTGGCATTTCGGAGGAAAGTGAAGACCTGGTTGTTCGAGCAGGCATTTGAATAGGC